GAAAAGGGGGACTGAAGCAATGGCTATATTGTCCTCATGAAGAATCGCCGGTGGCTGGCGTAGTGTGCAGATGACCTCATTATTGTAGTTCAGATAAACAGGGAAAGGAAACTATCAGTATATAATGCGTAAATTAGGCCAACAGATATACATATAAGAAAATTTCATGTGAATGAAGAGCAGAAAAATGGTGGCTTTATTTCAAAAGCCCGAGCAGGAAATTCGTTTATGCCCAGTCTCAGGTGATGAGGACCTCCGCGATCCACTCACTTGCCAGTCTAGAAATCCACTGCGCCGCTTGTACAGTACTCCTGAAAGTTGCCGAAACTCTGTGATCAAGGCTCAAAAACAGCTTTCCTCTATTCGAAGACATTTCCATCATCTTTCCGAACGAGGCCTTTGCTTCTCATTCACTGCATTTGTGCGACCGCACCCCCGATACTATTCAACAGCGTGACCCCGATTCCCCGTTCGAGAGATGGAGTTTTTGTAAAAAGTTTGAGATACAGGCGATTCGGCTCACTCTTCACATTCCTTATCTTAATTCAGAGGAAAGGCTTTATAGACCGCAACTTCCTTCGACTCAGCAGAGTCAACAACACACAAACCTCGCAAAACCATGAGGGCTCCCCTTTCAAACATGCTAGTGTGCACAATCTTCGAGAATATCCCTGAAGGTTGTTCAAACCCAGAGGTGGCACGTGAGTTTGATGGAGGATGTTTCTGTAATGTATCCCCAAGACATGAGAACAACTGTCTGTAAAACCCGTCTCAGCTGCACACAGAGATGATTTATCAAACTCCCAGATTGCTTTTTGTGACTCAGGGGAACTAATAGTGGTTCATGCTTGGCACGGAACCGCGTAAAATCCTCCCTCTCAGCCTATGGTCTAAGGTCACCCACTGTCCTAACAGCAGTACATACGATCTCCCCGATATGCAGGGGACAGATTTAGTGTCAGTTTTCAGGATAGGCATGTTGCCAGCCTTCTGCGACTTTCGCTGTCGGCACTCATGACGCACCGCTTTAGTCGCCTGCAGCTTGCCCTTTTCCAGATTTCCGGTGAGCACTTCAGTGCTTCACTTGGCTTTTATTTCTGTCCAGATTCTAACAGAAAAGAAACATGATATGCAGGAGTCAATTGTGTAATTATTTACCATACTGACAACACAGGTACTAGCTAAAAGCCCAGGAGTCTTCGGCCTCCTGGCCAAATTTAGTGTCTTTGCCTCCCATGTGTGGCAGCCGCCCAGCAGAGGTCTGCAGATTTCAGACTGCTTACCACAGCAGTTTGCTGTGCACAGTCATAGAGAGGACTCCCTGTCAGGATATGTAGCCTATAATTGTTGGGTTGTACTGGAAGCCACGACATTCAGGTGTTCGTGGCGGCTATGAGAGTTTGAATAAAAGTGGATAGTTCGAAATTTCAATGCATTTTTTAGCGTGGGTAAATTTTAGTAAGACAGTAGAGCACGCGCCGGTGGTTCAGTGGTAGAATGCTCGCCTGCCACGCGGGCGGCCCGGGTTCGATTCCCGGCCGGCGCATTTTTGGATTAAGAGACCATTCTTCTGCTCGAGATGCTCCTTCCTATGATCACCACGCCAGTCAACTGATACCCATCACCTTTGTTTGTATGCGAACTCAAATCACGCATTGATGCGCTCTCATTTCGAGAAAGCACTGAAGGTCCTCCATTTGGTAAGGTACGTAGGTCCATCAGCACGTGTTGAAGAAATGCTTGGCGTCCCTCAACTCAGCGGCTGCGTGCTATCCCTGCGCAGCGGCAACACTAATCTTCACTGTATCTGTTCACTTTAGCTATGCGCACTACCAAAGCGACTACGCTACCGCGGTAGCGCGACAGACTTGGTTTTGCCCAGACCTACCAAAGGATAGCACGCAGTGGCAGAGTTGAGGGGCGTCTAGCATTTCTTTTCTGCTTGACGCCGTATTTTACGCCTACGAGCAGAAATAAACATAATTTTAAGTAAAAGCGGACAAAAGAGAACACAAAGACAAAACAGATAAACTTTCGTGTACTTCTGAGGCTATTTGGCTAACTATAAAAGCACCGGGTTCACCGACCCTTAACATCCTGACGGTCTACCGACCGCCGAGAAATGATCCCACAGCGGACGCCCGTCTGATTGAGGACCTGGAGAGATTCTCTATCCGGTCCGAAGTCTTAATCATGGGGGACTTCAACGCACCTCTTATCGACTGGAGTTCAGCTTATGCATCTGGTCCAGACCATGCTTTCGACCTTCAAGTTCTTTCTCACTCAGCACGTCTCCTTTCCGACGAGGGTGCGCGAAGGGCAACAGTCAAACTGTCTGGATCTGCTCCTTACGAAGTCACTGGACAGCGTTGATGAGGTGCAATGTCTACCCCCCCTAGGTCGAAGCGATCACGTCGTACTGTTGTGGGAGTACTCCATTTTTCTCTGCCCGAACAGGCTACCAGGGTTAGAAGGAACATTTGGCGCGGTGACTTTGCCCAAATGAAATCTGAACTAAACACCATTAACTGGGAATCAGCTTTTTCCGGTGACATAATCAAGGATTGGGACTGGTTTAGTGAGTTACTGCACGTTCTTCTCAGAGACCACTGTCCTATTTCACGGAAGAAACTAAATTGCAGACCCCCGTGGCTAACAAAAGCTTTAAAAAAAGAAGTGAATAAAAAGAGGAGGTTATGGAGGAAATTCCTCTCGGATAGGAGCTATGTGTCGTTAAATGCATACAAAGCTCAGAGGAACCTAATTAGGAGGTTAATCCTCGGGACGCGGCGTACTTTTGAGAAAGACCTACTAAATCGAGCCGCAGAAAATCCGAAGTTGTTCTATGGTTACATAAGAAGAAGCACACGAAACAGAGACCCAATCCCGTTATTGAAAACTAGGGACGACCTAGAACTCAGTGAAGACGGAGAAAAGGCAGAGCACCTTTCACAGTTCTTTAAGTCCATCTTTACGAAGGAAAGCGCATTTCTCCCTCCCGACTGCGACATAGTGGATGGGCCAGCGACTGAGCACGCCTCTTTCGCCGAAGCTATTGTTCGCAAAGAACTGTTGAAGTTGAATGAGTCTAAATCACCTGGGCCGGATGACATACTGCCCAAAATGTTGAAGGAACTTGCTGGAGAACTATCCAAACCGCTGTCCATGCTCTTCCAAGCTTCGTTCGAAGCAGGCTATTTGCCCTCCGATTGGAAATCAGCGCGGATCACGCCAATTTATGAAGGCGGCAGCAAGGTCTTAGCAAACAACTACAGACCAATCAGCCTTACTTCAATTTGCTGCAAAATTATGGAGAAAATAGTAAAGCGAGAAATAATGCACTTCCTAGAAGAGCATAATCTGCTATGCGATGCCCAGCACGGATTTCGTAGAGGCAGATCATGCGTGACGAATCTACTATATTGTTTAGATCGCTGGACCCGGGCAGTCGATGGCAGCAATGCAGTGCACGCAGTCTACGTCGACTTTAAGAAAGCATTCGACAGTGTACCCCATCAGCGTCTCCTGTACAAATTAAACCGAACAGGCCTGAGGGGTAATCTCCTGAGGTGGATACAAAGTTTCTTGATCGATCGCTCTCAAATCGTCCACGTCGGTGACAGGCAGTCGGCGGAGGTAGCGGTTGAAAGCGGTGTTCCACAAGGCTCCGTTCTTGGCCCTACCCTATTCATTATATACGTCAACGACTGCGTCAGCGAACTGAATTGTGATGTCGCCATGTTCGCTGATGATGTTAAACTTTGGAGCGTCATCCGAACTGAATTTGACGAAGAGCGCTTGCAGGCAGACCTGACCCGACTCGAGAAGTGGTCACAGGACTGGCTGTTGCCGTTTAATGTGACAAAGTGTAATGTCCTGCGAGTCGGCAGGACCCGATCTCTGAACCGGAGGGTTTACCACCTAAACGGCGTACCATTGCAGGAGGTAGACGCCCAGAAAGACTTGGGGGTGTGGGTAACGGCTTCTCTAAAACCGTCGCTTCACTGCTCCAAGGTAGCCAAGTCTGCGATGTCAGTCCTTTATCTTGTCAAGAGAGCTTTCTCTACCTTCGATGAGGACTGCTTCGTTAAAGTCTTTCGGACTTTCGTACAGCCACAGCTAGAGTTCGCCATTCAGGCGTGGAAACCGTGGACCTCTAAAGATCTCAACATCCTCGAAAAAGTTCAGAGGCGGGCAACCAAACTCGTAGGTGGACAGGGTTCACTACCCTATGAAACCCGATTGTCCAATCTCGGCCTCTTTCCACTGAGTTACAGACAGCTAAGAGGCGACCTTATACAAACATACCGTATACTGCGCGGCCAGGACTGCTGTCTCGTACCTGCTGATTTCTTTGAGTTAGCGACCACAACGAACCTCCGAGGTCATCCACTTAAACTACGCGTAACTGGCGCCAAGCTGGACACTCGGAAGTTCTTCTTTTCAAACAGAGTGATCGAGGCCTGGAATGCTCTGCCTGCAGGTGTCGTCATGTCCACCTCCGTCGAGGCTTTTAAGCGCAACTTGGACCAGATTGCCACCAATCGTCACAATGCCACCTGACCGACAACGTCAAGCATTCGTTCGAACAGTTTATTAATGTTGTTATATTACTACCTATATTTCAGTAACGTTTGTTTTTTTAATATTGTCCCATGTCTGTTAAATGTGTGTTGGCATTCAATTCGTCTCCCTCCGAAACTGAGATAGCACCAACTATCCCTAGACAGACTACTGTACAGCACATTTAGTAACGTTAATGTTTTTAATTCTTGGAACAATTCGTTTATCTGTCTGGCTTACAAAACGTTGCCAATCTGAAGAAACTCTGTAGCCGTTTGATGTTTCAATTTTCAAATTTTTTTTTATTGTTCGCCTCCTTGTAACAAATAGGGAGTTCAAAGGTTTAACACCTATATTTCCCTCAAATAAACTGAACTGAACTGAAAAAGACAACGACAGGTAGGGTTGGCAATGACAGCGTTGAGCGTGACACGGCGTGCGCACTGAAGCGTGAGAAAGCAAAAAGTGGCACCGGCGAGAGCCGGAGGACTATCGGGCACCGAAGTCAATCGATAATCAAGTGCAAGTATGCGCGGCCACTTGGGTCCTTCGCGACGCCGGCGCAGCCGACCCGAAAACCAATCAAATCGCAAGCAGGCTAAAGACCCACTACCCCCCTAGAGAACGTTAGCTCGCGGCGAGCACGCTTGCCATTAGTGTCAACACTTGCTGCTGGTCCTACGTACCTTACCAAATGGAGGACCTTCAGTGCTTTCTCGAAATGAGAGCGCATCAATGCGTGATTTGAGTTCGCATACAAACAAAGGTGATGGGTATCAGTTGACTGGCGTGGTGATCATAGGAAGGAGCATCTCGAGCAGAAGAATGGTCTCTTAATCCAAAAATGCGCCGGCCGGGAATCGAACCCGGGCCGCCCGCGTGGCAGGCGAGCATTCTACCACTGAACCACCGGCGCGTGCTCTACTGTCTTACTAAAATTTACCCACGCTAAAAAATGCATTGAAATTTCGAACTATCCACTTTTATTCAAACTCTCATAGCCGCCACGAACACCTGAATGTCGTGGCTTCCAGTACAACCCAACAATTATAGGCTACATATCCTGACAGGGAGTCCTCTCTATGACTGTGCACAGCAAACTGCTGTGGTAAGCAGTCTGAAATCTGCAGACCTCTGCTGGGCGGCTGCCACACATGGGAGGCAAAGACACTAAATTTGGCCAGGAGGCCGAAGACTCCTGGGCTTTTAGCTAGTACCTGTGTTGTCAGTATGGTAAATAATTACACAATTGACTCCTGCATATCATGTTTCTTTTCTGTTAGAATCTGGACAGAAATAAAAGCCAAGTGAAGCACTGAAGTGCTCACCGGAAATCTGGAAAAGGGCAAGCTGCAGGCGACTAAAGCGGTGCGTCATGAGTACCGACAGCGAAGCCGTGGGTAAGAATTGAGAGTTAAGCCAACTGTTACTGCCCAGCCTCCGTGGCAGTCGTCGTTTGCACAGAATTCCATGCATGCCTCTTTGAGTCCCCCTGCCTGGGGAGTCCTATTTTTCAAATCACAGCTAAAATGATGAGTGGGCAAGTCACACGGCAGGTTTCGGTGATTGCGCCGAAGAAAGAAATATAACATTTAGACTGACAGGTTTGATGGTGACTCAGGACTCGTTTGTGAAGGTAGAAACTATCCTGTGAACCAATTCGAGAAAGCCCAGTGCTCCGTTGTCCGTCGCCAAGTTCGATAATCTGCACCACTCACTCAAATTCCTTCGATTTTATATTTCCACCCCTTTCTAACTAAAATACTGCGTTCCGGGTTACGAACTGGTCATCACTCCAACTGCCGTAACTGTTAAGGGGTGGGGCGGGGGAGAAGGGCACATCGAAATTGTCATCCGCGTGAAATATGTGCCTGGAGCGCACATTGTCCGCCTCCTCATCGAACCCCGCACCTGGGGTGTGACGTTAATGTGAGGCGACATTCAACCCCACGCAAAGCTTTGATTATACGGACAAAGTCTTAGAGGTATTGCTTACCCGCCTAGGATACTGCTGCTGGCGACGATGGCGACAAAAGCATCAGCCCCTGGGCAGTCCCCAGGACACGAGACCCAGCGCAAGCACTGCCACCGCCGCAACCAATCACTGACACCACAGAACGCCAGCCAATAACATTCGGCTCGAACCGATTTCAGCACCGTGCGGCGCTGTGGCTCAAACCTGCCGTATAAAATACGGAGCGTTTGATGAGGCAGACCCCCACATCTGGCCCTTTTACCAGCAGTATTCATCATACGGAAGATGGTGACAACATAAAATAATTATGCACTGGGCTTAAAAGTTGAAATCCTCCGTTCCTTTGTGGGCGTAAGTTCCTGTACAAGGACAAGATTGATGAATTTACCATGAAATCATCCCATATATTACGGATGTATACAAGCATTCAGTATTTCTGGAAAAACACACATCTACAGTAAATATGCCATCACATGAAATGCTAACCGAAATTCTAAAACAGGCTTTCGATCCGAGAACACCACTTAAGTATGGTCATGATATTAATTATCGTGGAGCATAGTTCTAAGAAATTGCAGTCGCACCAGGATGTCGGCTTTTGAAGGAACTCATTTTTGGCCATGGGCAAAAGACCACGTTCTGTATAAAGCGACTACATAAGTAGCATGACACATTTCCACTGATGTTCGATGTCATTATAAATTCAATTATATTTTATAGACAATGTACACAGAAATATTCTCTCGGTAGCAAATAACGCCCTCTTCAAATTTCATGCTCAAATGAAGTGTATCTTTCGGCATTAACAATTTCCAAATCATGAGATTTTTAAGGACCGTAAAATACCCATTCATTCAGCACCGCATAAGGACGTTTATTAATGCTACTTGAAAAGTATACAACCTGGTACGCACTCTCTACACAATCTTATGAGCGCTATATGATCTCTTCCTAGCAGCATGGAGAAATATATGATATTCCTTTGACGGAGCGTATGCAGCATGTAGTTATAAAACCCTGAATGAAAGTGTAACGACATGTAGGGCAAAAATATTCGGAAATGGGAAATTTTCTTAAAAACCAAAAGATACTCTCTTTTCAAGTAAAAAAAATTTGAGAAGGCGTAATTTGCTACCAAATGAGCACGAGAGAGAATGTTTTTGTGCACGTTTCCCATAAAATACAATTGAACTAATAAAAGCATCTAAAATCAATGGAAAAAACCATATTTCTTATTTAGTCACTTTTTATAGTGTAGTGTTTTGAAGACGGCCGAAAAGTAACTCATATAAAAGCTGGTGTGGACGAAATGTCTTAGAACTATCCTGCATGGCAAGTAAAATTACGACCCTATTTAAGCTCTGGGCGGGAATACAGTGTCGTAACACTTAGAATTGTCTATTCCCCCACCAGCCTGTCTTACGGGCGGACTACTACTACTAATACTACTTTTACTACTACTACTACTACTACTACTACTACTGCTACCACTAATACTACTACTACTACTACTACTACTACTACTACTACTACTACTACTACTACTACCACCATCACTACTACTGCTACTACTACCACTACGGCGGGAATACAGTGTCGCAACACTGAAGAAAACTTTTTCCCCCGTCTACCACCACTGATACGGAGAATACTACTAATAATCCTACTATTAGTACTACTACTACTACCACCGCCACCACGGCTGCCAATGCTACTCTGCCAACGCTTACAGTATGGGTAACTAACTGCAATAATACTAGAATCAGTAACGGAGTGTTGCGACACTGGTATCCAACCAAGCTCTGTTCTCGGATCGAAAGCATATTTCAGAATTTCGGTTAATATTTTATGAGATTGCAAATAGACTAAAAGAGCTGCCTGAGAGCATGCTGAACCGACAACACAGCTGAGCCGCGGCTCGATGTTAGGGCGTTAGGCTTAACGTTTGGTTGTTAAAGATTTCGGGTTGGAATCCAAAACCGGGTTGGGTGAGGTTGGCTGACGACGGCTAATAACTCGGAAACAATAATCACAGTCTCTCTTGTCCTTGTCAGCACTCCTTCCTGCTCATTAAAAGATCAGCGTGCTGCCGTCTAGTGAATAACGTTAGGCACTGCTCTCGACAAATCAGTTTTGCAGGCTCATAGAACAAATTCGGTTGTCACATTGGTTTCGAAGCATACAGTGCACGCCTTCGCCACCTACCGCAAACCTACTTCTCAGTCTGTTCTCGCTCCCCACTGTGCAGCTAAACTTCTGCCAAGCGCAATGCTATTTTCCTTCCGACAGTAACAATACCTGACTGTACTTTAAAGTCAGTGAGAAACGGTTGACAGGGTACCAGTTAGAGCACACAGACGACTGGTTGTGTGCGCTATCAGGTGTGCTGGACGGTTGCTGACAAGGGACACGCTCAGGTTTCTTCACAAACTGACCAGTCAGTGAAGAATCCCGCGGCCCACCAGCGAGGTCAAAGAGGGACTGATAGCGAGCCGGGGTGGAGAAGACAACCGGTGTGGCTGTGCGGTCGTGGCGTGCCAGGGCAGGACGCTCCAAACTCCATAGAAGTGTACTCTACTACCTTCAAGCCGGAAGTACTGAATAGCCAATTCCGCGTGTCATTTTGAAAACCCGTGCTTTGAGGCCAAGTTCAGTTCAGTTCCGCTCAGTTTATTTGAGGGGAATATAGGTGTTGAACCTTTGAACTCCCTATTTGTTACAAGGAAGCGAACTATATAAAAAATTTGAAAATGAAAACATCAAACAGCTACAGAGTTTCTTCATATTGGCAAAGTTTTCGATGCCAGACAGATAAACGAATTATGTCAAGAGTTAAAAACATTAACGTTACTAAGTGTTCCGTACAGTTGTCTGTCTATGGATAGTTGGTGCTATCACAGTTTCTGAGGGAGACGAATTAGATGCCAACACACATTCAACAGACATGGGACAATAATAAAAAACAAGCATTACTGAAATACAGGCAGTAATATAGCAACATTGATAAACTGTTCGAACGAAATGC